CCCCTCCTTTCTCTGGAGTATGAATGGAAATACTCTTGTCTCTGAGACGAGAATCTGATCCTTCTGAGTGTCCAGAAATAGCCCGTGGTGTGCATTTCACACTGAAACGGGAGTTGACCCAGGTCTCCGGTAATGTCGTCCTTCTGGTATGATCCAGCATGTTGCAACAGCTCTGATGTCATCAAGGAGTAGGAAAGAAAGTACATGTGGGGGGGCTTTATTCTCGTTTGAATAAAGGGGCAGCACGTTGACTTATTTCAGAAGATGAAGGGCAAGAACTCACTCGCCTTCGGGTTTAAGCTCTGTACTTTTTTCCTCTGGCAAAACGTGTAGCATGTGACATTTTGACCAGTGAGGGTCAAATGCTTGAGGGGTCTATAATGCCGATCAGTCTGGCACGGTGTTTGATTGTACTTTAAGCTAATTGTCGCTGAAGCTGGAAAAGAAAGGAGAGGCTGCATGCTTTGCTGTTGTCACAATTGGACGTGGTAGTTTTAATATTAAATAATAAGACACCATGCTAATGACACATCCTAATTGCAGCACAACGTACAGGCTACAATGAAGTGTTGAGTTGTAGGCACACGTTGTGTTGCTTTATTCACGTGGAAGACATTTTGCAGCGCTGACACATGGGTTTTGTCCCCCCAGTCATTTGTCGGAGGTGTCCCTAAAGGTCAGACGCCAGTAGTAGTAGTGCAACGGATCATAAAACTCACAGATTGAATAAAGAAAAAAGGGAGCAAATATTACTTTTAGACATCCCTGATATTTTTTTTGCCGATCATTGATGATCCATAGTGTCAGATTCCTTTGTTTGATTATATCAGCTGGTCTAAAGGCTCCAGGCTATTTTGCCAACGTCTCATAAATTATTTCAACCGCTTTGAAGTCAGTGTAAACATCTAAAATGTTTTTTTAGTTTTATTTTATTTATTTATTTTTTTTTTAGTTTTTTTTTTTTTCTTTTTTTTTTTTTTTGGTCACTGTTTTTCATGGATGTAGCTAAGTTTCCCACCAGCTTGATGTAACATCAGTGCAATAGCATAATTACAAAGGTTATAAGGTGACATTTTCCTTAATTAGGCTTGCGATCATAGACTGTTAAAGAAGTGGACCTACCAAACCCATTGGTTTGTGGATTGTGATATTTAAGCCTCACGTTCTGAATTTTGGCAGTTGCCATCTTGTTTTTCAGTTGTTTTTTTGCAACCATATTTGGACTGCAGATGTGGTGGAGATGCCATATATGGCTCTGGTAGAAACCTGTCAATCATAAGGTAGCCCAGCCCTAAAGCACACCCTGCTTTATGGTCTGTTTGACTCTAAATGGAGCATCATTTACTAAATGAACATCATGCTGTATTGAAGAAGACTTGAAACTAGAGATTGAGACCATGAACTCATGTTTACTGGGGTAATAAATCAAGTGAGAAGTAGTCATTTTCTCATATACTTCTATACAATCTGACTTATTTTTGCAACCAGAGGAGTCTCCCCCTGATGCTATTAGAAAGAATGCAGATTTAAGGCACTTCTGCATTGGCTTCACTTTTTTAGAGTCGGAGGTTGCCATCTGGCTCAGAACACTTTCTCGTGTGTGTGTGTGTGTGTGAGAGAGAGATTGTAGTGGGATTTAATTCCATGTATTTATCAGTCAATTCTATTTAATGAAAGTCAAAGTGCTAACTTCTCATCCCTCTCTTTTTTTTCTTTTCCTTTAGGTTTGAGTGGGACAAACTTTTGGAGACTGTGCATTGTTTGATCATAAGTGTGACAAAGTCTGACAAGCAGGAAGCTTATATACTCAGGTGAGTGCCGGGTCTGTTACATGCAGTACGTCGCCTGTGTTTTCCCAACCGAGCACACAGCAGGCGGGATTAGACAGCGGTCACCTGTAAGCCGCTTGCTTTCGACAGCGCAGACTTTGTCATCGGTTGACGAGACGGTCACAGGCGCTCACATGCTGCACCGCCTTCATTATTAGAAGTGCATCCAAGGTGGATGCAACAACTACCACTCAAATATGTCTGTCGGGTAAAACAAGTTGTCATAGTGACCAGGGTGTTGTACAGCAGCTCTGTCGAAGTGCACCTGCCCTGTAATTCCTGCTCCTGTGTGCCAAGTTCGAGCTCCTCTCGCTGGCATCCATTTGTCCTGATGAGACCTTATCTGTAAGCTCAGTGAACCTAAAAAAAAAAGCAGCAGCGCATGAGCGGAATAATCACTTTGTATAACCTGTTAGACGGCGGTTACAGACGTTTCACACCTCTGTTGTGCTCCTTTGTTTCCACAGTGAGAGTAGCATGTTTGTCTCCAAGAGACGTTTCATTTTGAAAACATGCGGAACCACTCTCTTACTGCAAGCACTGGTGCCTCTGCTGGAACTCGCCAGGGAGTACTGCGGTTTCGATGCCATCGAGGTACACCGCCCTTTTTTTTTTTTTTTTTTTTTTTTTTTTTTTTTTTTTGAGTAAATGTAAAAACGGCACTTCATTCAGAGCCTGAAATGCAAAAATCCTAAATCCTGTTGCTATAAGGTGTTTGAATGTATAAATGTGATGACTGCTCTTGTTTTACCGTTTTTATTTACTTTGTGTGTGTTTTTTTTTAAAGTCTGGTTTAGGAGTTGCCCTGTGGCCAAGCCTCATCAACTGTGTTGATATGGAACTCCAGTATTAGATTGTGTTATTACCTGATGCCTGCAGCTGTTCATTTCTTTTTTTTTTTTGCTTTGCAGAATTTCTTCTACTCCCGCAAGAACTTTATGAAGCCAACCCAACAAGAGTTCCCTCATCGAAACTTCCAGGAGGAAGTGGACTTTCTCAGCCAGATTTTCCCAAGTAAGCAACATTATAGAATTTTTAGTCTGAAAAATGCTCTGAAAATGCTTTAACCAAAATGGTACAGCACTTCTACAACGGTTTGTTTGTTTGTTTTTTTTCCCTTGAGTTTCCACCAATCCCATCCTACTGTGCTGTGATTGGTTCGGTAGATGGCTAACTAGCCAGCCGCTAAATTAGTCAAATGTAACAAGTCGATGCTTCATCCACACACTCGCAGCATAGGAAAGCACATTGCCATCACCAGATCTGCCAATCGCAGCAATACTGGTCATAATCATTTATTTTTATTTTTATTTATTTTTTACATAATGGCTACAAAATTCACTTTATAAAGTTTATGGAATCTGTAAATTAATTTCTTATTCAATAATAATTTATTCATTCTTTTTTTCGTATACTGTATCCCTGAAAACTGCTTTAATGTTACAGTCTGTAAATCCTTCCCTCAGCCCACAGTGAGGCAGATGCATATCACTCCTGTTGTGAAATGCATCCATGTTGTACGACCTTGCCCAGACTTGCACTTCAGTTGTTAAGGAACCAGTAACCACAATCAAAACGTCTTTGAAATGATTTCTCAATGCTACCCTACTCGCATAGCTGTTGTGGTGGAAAACAGGAAGGCTGAAGAAGCTGCCTTGTGCCACAGAAATCCAATAGAAGCTGCATGCAATCCCATATTTGAGATTGTGTCGGCTACGGCCATCATAAGGCCAACTTCTGTAAAACAAACCTCTTCTTTCTTTCAGATGGTGCAGCCTACTGTATGGGACGTTTGAACTGTGACTGCTGGTAAGCTCCACGCAGTTTCCCGCTCTGGTTGAAGCTTTGTGTGTTGTCTACTCAGTGTTGCTAACATCACTGGATGGTTTGTTAGTAGGAACTCTGGCTAAATTGTGACCGCCACTGATTTTTATTCTTAAAACATGTTGTAGAAATTTTCTTGTTTCTCTCTGAAGAAAACTCCAAATAAATATATAATTCTAGAAAATGAAAATGCAGCTGATTGCGGAGACTTCTGTGTTGTTTGTGTAAATTCAGCCCCAGCAGGACATTGCTGCATGATAGTGATGACTGTTGGTACAATCATGAGATGAGGGTAAAAAGGTCAAGCCTGTTTTCTGGGGATTTCTGCTTTAATGAAAGCTCTTTGAGAACCTCCTTCTGCGGTCCTGTCATATGCTCGCTGACGCTTTCGCCTAAATTTTAAAGGTCGACAACATCTGCGTCATTTTCTGGCAAAAAGCAGTGATGTAGCTTACCACAGAGTTCTAATCAATAAGGTTATGAATGAGTGTTTGGAAACAACTGAAAGGGTCAGTTTGGATATTTTGAGGATAACCCGAGTTCTGTGAGGTAAATTATAACGTCTGCGGCTTTGAAGAGAGCGGTATCATTTATTAATATTCTCTTTAGTATACGCTATATTTAGAATATTTTCGCGGCTTTAACGTTGCGTCAGAAAGCTCTTTCAGATGGGGAACTGACGCCGTTAAATAGCTGTCTTCAAAGCCACAAGACTCCACTGGGGGGAACCGTACCGGTTCCGTCAGCTTCTACAAACTAGCTAGCTCGCTAATTCCACCATGCTTTAATGCTACACCGGTGACAAAAATGAGGCGAACAAATTTGGTGTGTGTGTCATTAAGCTGTTGAATTTTATCCATTTAGCGGCTGCCATGTTACTGTAGGTAATACACACCTGACTATGGATAAGGATACATGTAGAACGTCATCATGCGGGGACCTACGTCGGGTCACATGGGAAAACAATTTTCCAAGGGCTTGGGGAAAATGGCATTTACGTTTTTGATTATAATGCGTAAGGAACTGAAGAACCTTTCGCTGTCTGCAGGTACCTGTTTACCCTGGACTTACCAGAGTACTGGGAGAACAAGCATGCGGATCAGACGCTGGAAGTTCTGATGAGCGACCTCGATCCAGCCATTATGGACCAGTTCTATATGAAAGATGGTGTTTCTGCAAGTGATGTCACTCGTGTAAGTAGATCCTTCCCGTCACACACACAAACCCTCCGGAGCTGTGACGGAAAGCACAGTTATAGACGTGCTTGTCTTCTTGCAGATGAGTGGAATTCGTGACCTGATACCAGGTTCTGTGATCGATGCCACAATGTTCAACCCATGTGGATACTCAATGAATGGAATGAAGACTGACGTGAGTTGTCTCTCGAGTTCCTGTCACCTCCGCCGCGCCAAACCGCTCAAACGTCTCTGTAATCTGGCTCTCTCTGCTTGCACCGTCCTCTCCAGGGAACTTACTGGACCATCCACATCACCCCGGAGCCGGAGTTCTCCTACGTCAGCTTCGAAACCAACCTCTCCCAGACGGCGTACGACGATCTGGTCAGCAAGGTGGTGGATGTGTTCAAACCGGGAAAGTTCGTGACAACGCTTTTTGTCAATCAGGTAAGTGTTGGTGGTGTTTGTTCTTTTAAATACACGCCTGCTTTCATTGAGGGATTTAAATTAAAGTTGCCACTGAGTAAAAAGTATGTTTTGTTTTTGTGCCCACGCAGAGCTCCAAATGTCGCAGCGTCTTTTCTCCTGCCCAGAAAGTGGACGGCTATAAGCGCCTCGACCGCCAGCTGGCTCAATTTAACGAGTACAATTTCGTCTTCACAAGCTACGCCAAGAGCCGCCAGCAGAACCAGCAGAGTTGAGGGTCGAGGATGAAGAAGAGGCGTAAAAAGAAAAGTGGCTGCTCGGGGCCACTGCCCTCCTGGGGCCGGCTTCTCCCCCCAGTAGAGAGCTTGTCGTCTTCCTCCTCCTTTCTCCCCCTCTGCCGCCGCTGCCGCCCTTCAGGACCTCCCGGTGCTGACGCGGCGGCGAGCCCCGGCTTAACCTCCAGCTTGAGTTGTTTGCATTGTTGTTCCCGTGACTTAGATCTCTTGCATGAAAGCTCTTCTCCCCGTTTCGATATTCTAGCCCACTCTTGCCGTGCTCTTGAGGTGCATGTAGAGGAATTGAACACGCTCCTGCAGGTGTCCCCCCTCATCCCCCACAGACAAGGCTTCCGCCCACACTAGGCCGGGTCTCCTGGCACGCTCAGATCGGCACGCCCCCCCACCTGCCCCCCAAAATTCGACAAAACTAACCCGATTCGCTCATCTATTTATTTATGAATCAGGACCAATGTTTTAGAGTGCACTTTAAAAACCTGTTTGCTCACGGTACGAAAAAAGAACAGAAGGCCGACCTTCTTTCTTCCTTTCTTTTTGTTTAAAATCTGATTGAATGTATAAGTCGTGGTAAGCTTTTGGCCGTTCTAATCGTCGTCGCTTTGTCGGGACACGTTCGAGTCCCTTCGATCGCCATACTTGCTGTTTAATGTTGCACTGTTGGATAAAAGGTTCTCATTTGGTCGAATATCAAAGTGCACTAATGGCAAAGAAACAAAACAAAAAAGACTTTCCGCTTTGCTGGGCTTTTGTTTTTAATGTCGACCCCCACCAGCGTTCACTCATTTTGTGCTCCTACTTAGAAAAAGACAATCAATCATATAGTCAGTGTGGCCCCCCCCCCCAAATAGACAGGCTTTTAAAAGCTTGGAAAATGTATGTGTATGAATCATTGAAGACATGCATACTTTTTCACCCAGGCTTCTTTCTCTTATCTTTTTTACAGCATGCTGTATCTATAGGAAGCCTGTGGGTCTTAGCCCCCCCCCCCCCTCATCTTCCCTACAGTCATATTCAGCACTCTAGTACTCACATGAAATGTTCAAACTGAATGTAGCACCCCCGTCTTTCGAATGTATACATACCCAGAGAAAAGCCTGGACCGGGTTTGAGCTGAATGTACCACTCCAGTAGAGCACACCCACCCCCCCCCCCTTCTCCACCTTCCTCACACAGCGCGCACAATGCCCTCTGACGTATTACCCCCCCCCTCTTTTCTTTTTCCCCCCCCCCCCCCTCGCCCCATACAGAAATCTGTACGCGCACAATAGACGCCCGCCGGTCTGAGCATGCCAGGGTGACCCCGGATCATTCCACATGTAACTGCTGCATAAGCTGCAATTTAATTACATTTATCGTGCCCATACATTTTTTTTTTCTTGTGTTGTTTTTTTTGCAGTGAGTTGGTCAAAATGTGACACCCCTAGCAGTTTTGTTTTTGTTTGGATCGACGCCCTTTTTGTCCATTGAGGGGGGGGAAATCCTGTGACACTATGGTGCATGTGACTATTGCCGTGTTGCTTGACAGTGTAGCTAGCACCGCCTCTTCCTCCTCTTCGTCAGTAGGTCTGTGTGCTTCACCTCACTCCTCGTTTTTTTGTTTTTTGCCTGCTGAAAGCGTATCCTGATGCGTTTTGGAAAACGCATGAACTTTTATTTTATTCTTCCCCTAAGTTTAGTTGCAGACGAGTGCTGAAGGCAGGTTCAGGTTTCTTACTCGTTATCTTTTGAAGCCTCTTCGTCTGGCGTTGGGGTCCGTGCTGTTCACGACGCTTCTCCTGCCAGAGAATGCGGTTTTGAACCTTGAGCCGGACCACGACGACGTGGCGAGGGGGCCTTTAACCTGCTCTCAGGACTCAACGCAGTCATTGTTCTTGAAGGCGCGTGCGTACGGTTGCATCAACTTCCGTGGAAGTGCCTCCGTCACCGAGGCGCTCTGTGAGCCAGTTGGACCAGTAGATGAAGTAGGAAGGGTTTTTCTTTTGAGAGTTGGTTTCATTCTGCACATGTTAAAATTGCTCAAGATTACGCGAAGCAGTTTAAAGCTAACTGTTATTGGAAGAAGTACATTTTAGCCTCGTTGATGTGGATCAGTATGCTGCTTTATTTTATTTTTATACAGTGAACTCAAAATGCATTTTTATGCAGTTGAATGGTAATAGAATTTTATACAAAAAAAATATATTTTGTATTTTTTGCTGCGGACCAATCTCTTTGTTCATTTTTTTTTTTTCTTCCCCCTTTTTTTTTTTTTTTTTTTTTTTTGTCGAAATTTTTTTTTTTTTTCGTTACACCAGTTTGTTCTGAAGTCACGGGATGACCTTTTCAAAGCTGACTCACTCATTATTATTATTTTTTTTTATTATTTTTTTTTTTTTTTTGTGCGAGTGTGCATTTTCACTCCCCCTTGCTCTGTGAATCTTGTCTCCAGAGGAAGGGAGAGTGATAGCCCCCCCCCCCCCCTCGGGTCAGAAGGGGGTGCAGTTGCAGGATGTACTGAAGGAGAAGCTTTGCTGTTCTAATTCTTTCTTTTGCTGTTCTTTGAATGGTCAAGATGTGCTAAATATATCTGTGCTACGAGCTTGATGCTTCAATAAAAAAAGATGCTTATCTGTGCAGCTGGCCGTGTTCTTTATTGAAAAGCGAAGATCGTGGTTTTTGAGGAAAAAGAATCTTAATGGATTAAATGCTCTTTCAAATGCAAGAGCCCGTTGATACAAAATCTGCTTGCATATTGAATAATAGAAATGTAGTAATTATTGACATGTTAATTGATTTCCTCTAAAGGGGAAACATTACAGGGCGATATGGTAAAAAAATAAATAACTGGTAGATTTCACCATGAAACGTCTCCAGTTGATTACGCCCTTTGAGGCAATTATTTTTAGTATTGCATGTTTTCTGAAATTTTATGTTGAATGTACAAATGAGGCACTATCTAATGATAACTTTAGGTGAATTTAAGAGAACGCTACAGACTCGAATAAAACGAATAGTAAACTAAACTCCTAAATGTGTATTTGTGATGTTTTCGTGTCTGAAAAAAGCCAGATAGCCCTCCAGAGATTTATTTCACTCCAATGAAGTCAAAGGAGTTGTAAAAGGCAGATTTTAAAAAGCCAGATCAAAATGAAAGCGGCAGAAGCTGAGAAATATATTCTGTAGTATGCGTCAAAATATAAAACACTAAATCTACATTAACCACAATGCAATGGCCACTCTTCTGTGATGTTCACTGTACCAGAGTCGGTTGTGGAATCATCTGATCAACATGGCAGAGGTTAGAATAAAGTCAATCACACAGCTCTCCATGGGGAATAAAAACAAAAAGCTCTAATCGTTTTTGACTTATTTGTATATTAAACAAGTTTGGCCCTGAATCATGTTCTATCTCATTCATCTAGAAGCGAAAGATCTGTAGTTCCTCTGGTCACGGAGGTCACACAGATGGTTCCATTTTATTTTCAATTGTAAATTTTCTATAACATGTCTCAAAACTAAAAGTTAAGGTTTCTCCCAAACACCTGGAAAAGAAGGCAAGGTTGATTAGCGTTTGAAGATTTGTTTGTAGAAGTTGTTTGTCTTCTTGTAATGTATACGCAGCACTGTGGTGTCTTTTATCCGTCTCCCATAAAGCTCCGGTCTGAGACTCGTCATGTGTCTCTGTTGTCGTCCTGCTCTGGGCAGATTTACAGCTCTGTCATACGCTTTCCATTCAGTTTAACCAGTGATGGAAAAGGTTTTCAAATCCTTTCCCTAAAGAATATTGGCAAATATATTCATGTAAAAAAGAGTAAAAGTCCTACTTTTAAATTTCTACCTATTAAAAGTAAAGTAAATATTATCAGCCCGAATACTGATTGACCAAAAGCTGGACCCTCTACATACAGGTGTGTTTACTGTATACTATTCAATACTATACTATACTTAACTATGCTTTACTATTACATACTATTCTATGCTATACTATACTTTACTATTCTATACTATATTATTCTATAATATACTATTCTATACTTTACCATACCATACTATACTATCCTATTCTATTCTGTTCTACTCTACCCTATTATATACTTTACTATACTACTCTACACTACACTATACTATACTATTCTATACTACATTATACTTTACTATTCTATACTATATAACAATCACCTGAAACCTCTCCACTACACACAGGGATCTCCATCTACACAATTTTGACAGTTTAGTCTCATTAAAGGAGGTGACTCCTTACTTAAACATGTATTTCATATTTTATATTTGTAAATACTTAATTAATTACAAACTAGTAGGTTCAGCTGTCAAATATGTGTAATAAAAAGTCCAATATTTGCCACTGAAATGTAGTGGAGAAAAAGTATATAAAAGTATATAAAAGTACTCCAAACTTGTACTGAAGTACAGCACTTGAGCAAACGTACCCAGTTCCTTTACATGACTGCCAATACTTACTAAACCAAATGACAACAAGATAAATACACCTGTGCCTCACCTGAGCTCCTCCCTCAAGAAGAACCAAAGTTGATGTATCGTGCTCTGTACACTTGTTGGAAGTGGAGAGAAAAGCACTCAATCATCATTAAAAAAACTCATGTATCCTACATATTTGTATGGTATTTTCTTCAATGTTTTATTGTGGTTTGTTAAATGTTCCTTGACTTTTCTCCTACTGTGCACCAAAGCAGGTTCATTGTATGTGAAAACCTACATGGCAAAAGACCGGATTCTGATTCTGATCACCTCAGGGCCAAAAAACAGAAACCCCCACCAAAACACGAATGTTGGCGTCGCCATCAAACAGGTTATATTAGTTTATTTATATCCCACTATTTCACCTCACTGCCACACTGTTCCTAAATTCCCTTCACAGCAGCAGCAGTCCTGTATAGAGTGAATCCTGACTGTGACATCTCACTTATATGTATGTGGACATGCTACCACCTGGTGGACAGAGAGTTTACCCTCAGAGTGCAGCGCCACGAGCTGCTTTGAATGAATTGTAGTGTCAGGGGCTCATTTCAGAAAGCACAAGGTTTTCCTCAGACACACAGAATAAAGAGGGGTCCGCCAAAAGTGGCTTTGCTAGAAAGAAAAAGATAATCAATACAACCCGAGAGAAAATACAAAGACATAAATTCCATCCAAATAAATGTCATCAATGATTCCACCTAAAAGGGAACTTTTTTTCTGCCATTTAACAGATATTATATGACAAGCTTTTATATACACAGGTTTGGGTTTGATTTGCTTTGAAATGTAGCCAGTTGCTGACAAATGATATGACATTTTTTGTAATCAGTAATGGAAAAAATAACGTAATCTAATCTGAATACTTCTGGATTACTATTGACCCTTACAAATGCAGTACTGGCAGAAACATGTGTACTGTGTGCACAACATGTGGGATGGTGTTTCTTTAGTGCACTTTTTCTTTTCTTATCAAAGGCCACATGGAGGACTTTGCTCTTGTAACGCAAGACGAGCACCTAATCAAAATGTTCCATTTTTCAAATTCACTGTAAATAGAAATGAAATAAAAACTCCATAAATCAGCATTAAAACATAAACAAGTATGAGCAAAGTCCCCATTAACGAAACTGTGAGCCTGAGAGGAGTAACAGTTGAACGTATTCAGCATTTAAAATTGGTCAAATCAAATAACCTGTACAAAAACATGATGGCATAAACATATATTTTAAAGACGCAATAAGAAAATGAATCAGGTAACTATTGTAATTACTCTGATTGCAACTTTTTTTTCAATTGTAATCTAGTCTAACTATAGTTAATTTCTTTTCTAATCTGATTACTTAAACCTGATTAGATGTCATCCCTTTTCTATTCTCACTCTGTCACCCAATCCTTAGTATAGTAGGCCACTCCAGTTCCTTAGAATAATGCTATCCAACCACTGCTGCTATGTATAAGTACACCAGTGACTATGGAAAAAGAGATAATACCACACAGTCTCCTAAAATAATATTTACATAATCTACAATCCCATGCTAAACTGACATTAAGAATTGGGGGGTGTCCACAGTGCTTGTAAAGTACTACCCTTCCCAGCAGGCCACAGAATCTTATAACGCTTTGACTTACTGCTGGGGTTCTGTAGTTATTTCGGTCTGTCTTGTTCGGCAGCTCCCCTAGTGGACAGTTTGAGACGTGCAGTGGAGTTTCTGACACTGGACGGCGGTAATTCACTCGGCGCAGGAAATCAACCACCGCGCCACCAAAGAAGAAGAACATCACCAATGTTGTCTTCCGCCGCTCGCATTCACGTGGAGGAACCGCAACGTGAGCGCTCGTGCAGCCGACAGGAAGACGAATAAAGACTCTAAAATGACGCAGTTAGACGGTATAGTGTAAGTTTGACAGCGTACTATTGAACCTCACTGTGTTTAAGCGTCCGTATGTATCTCCTTCGTTCAGTGCTCGTGAAACTAACGTTAACTGTGTAGGGACCGCTAACGTTAGCCCAGCGTGGCGTTTTGTAAGCTAACGTTAGCTTAACGTATAGGCAGATGTTCTTGTTTACGCAGCTTTTTACAACGTGAGGTTGCATTTTTTACGCCTCGTTTTCTATATTCAGTGCAAACGATATACTGTCAAGCTAGTTTTTAAAATGTCAGTCACGTAAGCATGTAACTGGTTTAACTAGCGGCAACATGTTACATGGGCTAGCTCCGATGCATCAATAAACTGTTACTTATCTAGAGTTTGGGTTCACCTTTCCGATCAAAACTATGGTCCTACTTGTTATAATAAAGTTAACATTAATATGTTGTGAGGGGGGAAAGTTTGTCGCTATTTTATTTAGATAAAAAGGTAGATATCAATTTATGTTAGGTGAGTGGAAGAAGGAGCATCATAGGAATATGTCTTCCTTTAGTCATGTTCAGGTTAGTATTGATGGGTATGAAATGTAAAAACATGCAAATTCTGTTAATTTTTTGTAATTTATGAAGCTATAATATTTATTATGATTATTCTATTAAAGACCAATAATAATCAAAATTAGGATACGTTCAATATATCTACCTTTTCAACGACATTGTACTTTCTCTTGACCACAATAAACTTTTTAAAACGTTTTTATATTTAATGTACTATATTTAACTAGCAAAGGACAACACCCAGCAGTAATATAGAATACATAATTAAAAGCTCTTCTGAATCAATGCTGTTTAACACTCTTTTAAACACATGTTGTCACTCTGACTGCCTCTTTATTTATTATTATTATTATTTGATCTTGTGTTGCGGTGAACTGCACTGTGCAGACTATCATCTTCCTCTCCTCTGTTTGTGTGTGCATCCTCAGAAAACCCAAGACGAAGCGCTCCAAGCGCTTCTTGGAGGGCAGAGCGCCCAAGCTGACCGAGGATGTGAAGACCGCCATGATCATGAAAGGGGGGAACTCCAGTCTGACCGTCACCCAGGCCCTCAAGGATATAGTAAGTGACCCGAAGGTGCTCTCGGTGAGAGAGACCTTCCAGACACGACTTGCTTCACACAGATGCACGGGCTGTTATAACGGTTTAATAGTCCAGATGTTGAGGCAATAGCAGACATGACGACATCACACTGTGTGTTCTTCTACCGTTACACTTCTTTAAGTAGCTTTTTATCAACTCGTAGGATTTGAGTTCTCTCAATCTTATAATTCAGTTACTTTGCATACAGACTTCAAGTACAGATTTTAACTCATGCAACACATCGCATGTGACATACAAGAAAAAAAGGATTGTGAAGTATCAGAAACTCTTGAGTTTAATTGAGTTAACGATTGTTGAACAGGGTAGTTTCTCCCCTTTTACTTCAAGGGAAGAGGGACAGAGACTTTATCAGCACAATGTACTTAGTGTGTTCAAGGGCTTTTAAATTGATAGTACTGGATGGTTATTTGGACAATAATTCATCATATCTATTTGGTTATATGTTTTAGGGGTAAAATCGGAATCGACCATGGAACCACAAACATTTCTCTGTCTGGTAAATGTGTTATTTCAGTGTACAATGACTCAATATAGTAACATAATTCAGTATTTTTCAACTCTTAACACCATAATAAATCTTTAGCTGTTTAGAGCCCTTTTATTTTATTTATCTTTTTGGGGAGGGGGGGGTTGGATGAACTGACCCTTTTAATTGAAATATCATAAATCTTTTTTATTTTATTTATTAATTTTTATTTATACGAATAGAATTATGAATTCAAACCAGAATTACATTTTTTTTCTGCAGTATTCCCTGAAGAAGCCCAATGCTGTGCTGTACAAGAAGTAAGTGGAGTTACGAAGAGGATACATTAAGATTAATGAATACATACATTTGACTTGACATTTGTTTTGTTTTCCTCTTGCAAACATTCTATACTTTACAATCCAAATCACAATCTTCAGTACAAATGAAAGCGGAGCATTTTAAATGACTATTTTGTGTAATTTTAACTTCGTTGGCTCACACTCGATATTTCACGTCCTCGTTTCTGCTGAGAATGAAACAAACAGAATGGAATGAAATCAAAATAACAGTATTTATTTGAGCAACAATGACACTTTCCTGAACGTCCTATCCTTCCTGATTCTTGGTGTTTTCTTAGATCCCTTTTAAGATGTAGACCAAAAATCTTCTGAAAAATAATTTAAATATGTTTTGACCCAAAGGAAGGGACTCAGTCTACACAATCGAGCAATCATTCCTAAATTTGTCGACGCCGTTAACCGTCTTTGAGTGTTAGAAACACGTTGAGCTAACTGCTGCGTGTTTGCTTTTCAGGAAGAACATAACGCGTCCGTTTGAGGACTCGACATCACTGGTGAGCAGACAAGAATCACCCCGAGCGCTTTATTACAATGTAATCTATCATCCAGTCTTATTGCTAATCATCGCTCTCTTAATCAGGAATTTTTCTCCAAGAAGTCCGACTGCTCTCTGTTTCTGTTCGGCTCCCACAACAAGAAACGGCCCAACAACCTCGTATTTGGTAAACTCTCTTTCCGCTTCATATCGCACCGTTTTAAATGTGCATTAAGAGACCAGTTAAATGTCATTTCTGTACATATTCCCAGTAGAACATTTAATAAATCATACTTGAATAGTTTTTGAATTGTAGCGAGGACATTTGTTTTTCCCACAATTCTACGCATGCGCTGTAATTTTGACAGCCAGCGTGTCTGTATATATATTTAATGTTGTAATAACTTTAGATGTGTAAGGGGTCCAGTCAACACCACTTATCGATGTGTCACATAAACGTATTTAACACCACGTTGACCGTCCTTTGGTTTGTCTGCAGGTCGTCTGTTTGACTTTCACGTGCTCGATATGATTGAAGTTGGGATTGAGAAGTTCGTCTCTCTGAGTGAAATCAAGGTAATGTATCACCGCCATGTTTAAACGGTTAAATGGTCCTTTAAAAAAAAAAAAATTCTCAGTCAGCTCACATGGCACTGATTAGAGCGGTGGTTACAGCTGTTGTACACGGCTTTAGAAGACAGCCTACCAGCCAATCAGAGGCTACACATGGAGTCTTAGAGCAGGTTGAACTGAGAAAGGATTTTTGGGAAATGCATGTTAGCTTAGCATAAGTAATGGAAGCAAGGGTGGAAATGGCTAGCTTGGCTCCGTTGAAAGTTAACAAATATGCCTCTAATGCTCACTAATTAACACTGATTTTAATCTGTTCACCAAAGCCACGTTTCTACCAAGAAGTTCAGTTTGTTACACATTAGAGTGATTGATGTCATTGTTTTATGAGCACAAGTCGTTCATAGCACCTGGTACTGGTACCACCTCGGTCAAGGTTCCAAGCGAGCTGAGCCGATACTACAAGGTAGAGTTAAAACCCTGCAGACCACTGATTGGTCAGAAAAAATCATCACAAGCCATCAAAACCTTTAAATAGCGACCTCATTTCTTTCTTTTTTTTCCACTCGACCAAAATAATAAATGTCACACAATCTGCTAAAATCTAGTGTTTGTGTTTTTTCTTTGCTGCAGACCAGCAAATGTCCCGAGGGGACCAAGCCGATGCTGGTGTTTGCTGGGGAGGCTTTCGATACGGACAACGAACACAAACGTCTGAAGAGTCTGTTCATAGGTGAGCACTCCTTCTACTCCGTGTGTCTCTACGTTTCCTTTCATTTCATCCCACTGCTAACATCTGTCCTCGTCCATCTCTGTCCCCGCCTGTCAGACTTCTTCAGAGGTCCCGCCGTGACTGCGGTGCGTCTGGCGGGTTTGGAACACGTTCTGCACTTCACAGCCCTGGAGGGGAAAATCTACATGCGCAGCTACAGGTCAGTTGGATTTGTTGGTTAAAAAATTATGTTAAGAATTGGCTTGCGTCTTAAATTGGTCTGAGTTTAGCTAGCATCCCCCCACAACAGCGATATTGATGTCATGCATCATTGCAGGAGTCTGTTGAAGAAGTCCGGGTGCCGCACGCCGCGGATAGAGCTCGAGGAGATCGGGCCGTCGTTCGACTTGGTCCTAAGGAGAACACATCTGGCTTCAGATGACTTGTTCAAGTTGTCCCACAGACGGCCCAAAACTCTGAAGGTAAGATCGTCTTGCTCTGACTCTCAGCTGTCCTTTGATGGGACATGACAATAAGAGGTGTGCGGTTGGATGTCCTAACCGGGGTTTTCTTTCCACTATGTTCAGTCATCTGTACATATGACCAAGTTATTGATACTAAAAGTCTCTTATAACCTCATTACTGCCCTCATGAAGTTGTTCTACTAAAAAACAATGTATTATTGAAAAATATAAAGGCAATTCTGCTGTTGTTAGATCCTGGCCATCAGTGCACTAAAAAAATGCCTTTGTCCTGAGGGTGGCGCCAGAGGAGAGACCACATTATTGCCTGTTGCATAATACAGATTTGAACCTCTACACTGTTACCATTTTACAACATCCAACACTCTACATCGTCAGGCTCTGTCCAACTTTTAACCAGGCTGGGCTCTACTTATCTGTGCTCCAAGGTTAATGCTAACATTAGCATTAAACATCCGCTTGACGCTCCATTGGGCCAGTCTCCATACACTCATGCTGTGCAGCCCAACAGTGTCCAATGTTTTATTTTTTTTACTTCTTGAAGATATCCTGAAGTTTACAAATGTCATGTATGTACAATGAGGTTGGATGTTTTGGAGAGAGGTACCTTGGGATTCTGGCCTGTGGTACTGTGGGTGTACTGATGGTACAAATTGACTTTCTTTGTCAGTATTTCTGTTGGTGTATTGTTAAGTACATCATTCAAATGTCCCCAAAATGACCAAAGTACGACAAAACATCTGGCAAACAAAACAACGAGCAAGTTAAATTCTCAAACCGACATGTCATTAACGCTTCTCTTCATCACCGATACAGATCCGGAAGAAGAAGAACATTTCCCGCGACGCCTTCGGCACTAAGTTGGGCCGGGTGCACATGCAGAAGCAGGATCTGTCCAAGCTGCAGACGCGTAAGATGAAGGGCCTGAGGAAGAGGAGGGGGCCGAAGGTCGCCGAAGACCCGGACGCACAGGCGCCCAAGGTGGCCAAAGTGGAGGGCTGAGGTCGTCTTTACCAGCGTGCGTACAGATCAACGTCCTGGACAAGTGCCCTTGTTTATAACACTGACCGTGTGCTTAGCATTGCCAGCTTGTGCTGGTGAGGAGGGGGCCATGCAGATCTATTATTCCTGCCCCCTATTGTTCCCCCTGTTTTTTTCCATGTGACTTTCAGATACGTCTTTGTCTCGAGCGTCAGTGTGTTTGCTCAGCTCTCTGGCAAAACCACAACAGCATCAGGAAACGGAAGAAAGTGTTTTCCATCGGCAGTTGCAGAAGAAGTCTGCCTGAGATTAGCTGAATTTGTTGTTTATAAGTTGGAGCGTGTAAAAGTTGAATTTCACCGGCTGCACTCACTTAAAAGGAAATAAAGCTGTCTCTTAATTACGTCAGGTTGTTCAGAGATTTCATTTTTATTAATTGTTTGTGTTCACTGTGTCTCTGCTTGTCATGACTTTAGGTTTTGCTTATGTTCACGTCAAAGTCAGGCTCTTTGCATTCCAGCTGTTGTAGTACTCGAGATCGATCCTGGTCTCAAGGCCACTTTTATAAGGTTTCATCTCGGAATTGAACTCGTTTTTACTCCGTCTGGTCGAAGTCTCCAAAGAGTACTTGGTTGATTTGATTTTAAGACCTCAACTGCGGGAAATCACTAAATGTATTTATTTGTTAACATGATTCCGATTGCTCATAAAATACAAAGGAAAATTCCCACACACAATTCATCCAATGTGGAAGTTCACTAAACTTTCTAATGTCCATCAGGGGGCGACTCCTCAGGTTGTATAAATCTCTTGATTTATTACCTAAGTAAACATTGTAAACATGAGTTTATGGTCTCAATCTCTAGTTGCAAGTCTTTTTCAATACAGCCTGATGTTCATTTAGTAAATTATGGTCCATTTAGGGTCAAATAGACCATAAAGCAGGGGATGAAAGTTAATTGAAACCTTTCGGTCGACTTATGTCTTTAGTATTTGGTTGTACTTAGCTCCACCTTCTTGTCACTTCTGGTTCCAAAAACAAAAATGGCGACGGCCAAAATGCCAAAATTGAGGCTTCAAAAACCGTACTCCATAAACCAATGGGTGACCACGCGGAGGCTAGGCCTACTTCTTATGAACAGTCAACACCCATACAGTATAGTATATATGGTGGTAAATGAGAACCAAATTTTTTCTTTTGTCTGGGTTTTTATGAGAATGTAGATCTTTCAGATATATTTGAGCGACTTTAAATGATAGACAACATATGTGGTGCAACATGAAAGTTACCTACATTTAATCTTTAAAAGGATTTTTTTTTTTTTTTACATTATGCAATAAATTAAATGCCATTCATAACAATAACACCACAAGACTTTTCTGTGTGACAGCTGAACACACGTCTAGCACAAAGGTATCCTCAACAGGGGGATCTATTTGTGGTCACAATTGGCAACTATTTTCCAGTCAAATTACTGATATCGTTCCATTTTTTTGGGTCATTTTTACATCACCATTTTACAACATTACTTCCCCATATAAAGCAGTGTTGTTTTTCTGGCGTCCTTGTATGATCTCCAACCACAGTTACCTACTTTTTTTCCTGTAATTTTCTGCTCACTGCACATATCCTTCTGCATGTCTGTCCATCTGCTTACCTTGCAGTTTGTCTGTTTTTAGCAGCTGGAAAAAAGGGGGAAGTGAGACCTTTCGTAACTGCACTGAGGGAGCCGCCTGGAGAAAGAGCAAGCTCAAATTGTGGCAGCGGACCCCACCAGCACTGAGGATCTGCGAAGAGGATATGAGTCGGCTCTTTCACAGACAGAACATCAGGAAGGCACCGGGCCCAGATGGTGTGTCCCCCTCCTGCCCGAAAGTCTGTGCTGACCAGCTGGCCCCCATCTTCACGCAGATCTTCAACCGATCACTGGAGCTGTGTGCTTCAAGCGCTCCACGATCATCCCGGTCCCCAAGAAATCCTCCATCACAGGATTGAATGACTACAGGCCCGTCGCCCTGACATCTGTGGTCACGAATTCCTTTGAGAGACTGGTGTTGACCCACCTGAAGGACATCACAGGACCCCTGCTGGACCCCCTGCAGTTTGCCTACCGGGCAAACAGGTCGGTGGATGATGCAGTCAACATGGGACTGCACTACATGCTGCAACACCTCGACTCCCCAGGGACATATGCAAGGGTTCTGTGGACTTCAGCTCAGCGTTCAACACCATCATCCCGGAAATACTTGAAGCCAAATGCTCCCAGCTTACTGTGCCAGCCTCCACCTATCAGTGGATCACTAACTGACAGGACACAGCCGGTGAGGCTGGGAAAAATCATACCCAGCACCCGGGCTATCAGCACTTGACCAGCTGGTCCTCTGGTGTGGTTAGAACAACCTGGAGCTGAACAAGCTCAAAACTGTGGAGATGACCGTGGACTTCAGGAGGAGCCCCCCCCCCCCCCAACTCTGCCCCCCCTCACCATTCTCAACAGCACTGTGTCTGCTGTAGAGACCTTCAGGTTTCTGGGATCCACAATCTCCATGCTCAGGAAGTTCAACCTGCCTCAGGAGCTGCTGATTCTGTTCTACTCCACCATCATCCAGTCTGTCCTCTGCTCCTCCATCACTGTGTGGTTTGGATCGGCCACTAAACAGGACAGGAACAGACAACGGACTGTCAGGTCTGCAGAAAAAATCATTGGTGCCAGTCTGTCCTCCATCCTGGACTTGTACACCTCCAGACCCAGGAAACTTGCAGGAAAGATCACTGCAGACCCATCACACCCTGTCCACAATCTGTTCCAACTCCTCCCCTCTGGTAGGCGCTACAGAGCTCTGTACGCCAAAACCACCAGACACAGGAACAGCTTCTTTCCACTGGCCGTCACTTTGATGAACAATGAATCAGATATACTGCACTATTACCACCATTCTGCACTAATTCCTCAATTCTATTGTCATTGTTGTTCTTTATGTCCATATACATACTTTTGGATATATATTTATACTGTACATAGTAGTTAAATGTTTATGCTTACCTCCGTTATACTTTGTTGTCCTTGTTTTTTGTTTATTTGTATATTCTATGTATGTACGCTGAGAGCCACGTAAAAACCGGTGTCAAATTCCTTGTATTCGTACGCATACATGGCCAATAAAGCTGATTCTGATTTTATATATATATATATATATATATATATATATATATATATATATATTAATGTTTATACATATATATTTATATACAAATGAATAGGTGATATGGGTTCTCATCATTCTAAACTGTACAATGCATCTTATCCATATTCACAATTTGCATTTCTTCAGCCGGCTGCCTAAAAGTGTTTATTGTTGCCAACAAGTGCCAACTGATGTTGCCCTATATTAACTTAGTTTAATTAAAATGAGTAGCCATAATATTACAATTTTTACTAAACCAATTACAACTACCAACAGTCATACTCCCAAGGACCTCAATGTATTGTCACATATTGTCAAAATACCAAAGATAAAGGCTTAAAACCTTTGGCAACTGCGTAGCAAGTCGTGGCAGCTGCGACAAATCTGAGCCAGCTGCTACTGTGGAGCCGAAGGGAGGAAAACATTATGCGGTGTATAGAGTTTATCTTTTTTTTAATCACTAGTCGTGCAAAACGTTTATCCAAGTATTAAGTCTGTATTTCACTCATTCACTGCTTCGTCACGGTGGAATGACGGGAACCAATCAGCAGCAGGATTCCCCGGAGCCCCGCCCCTCCGCGCTGTCTATTTATAATATTGCAACAGCAGCTTTTTGACAGCTACTGTAGGACCAGATGCTGCGTTCACCAGCTCCACTCTCACACCGCTGCTTCACCTCAATGGATGAGACTTCACCGTGACCCAAAAGCAGTCATTGATCGCAGATAGCCCGCATTTTACTTTTCATCTTACCTCTGTCATTGAACTGTTACATACCTCCAGACATTAAGGACAAACACTGCAGTTCCTCTGCTCATCGACATAAACCTGACAGTAGCAAAAACAATGACAGAAGGCGGGAATCACGTGGCAGAAGAAGGGGATACAGCCGTTAAGTATGAGGTGCCCGCCGGCGTGCCCGCGGAGGAGAAGCGGTCGGAGGAGGAGGACGCGGAGGAGGAGGACGGGGAGGAGGAGAAGAAGGTGAACGGGGACAGCAGAGTGGCGGAGCAAGCCGCGGCTCCCGGAGCGGCGGAGGTCGAGTTTGTGCACCCCGAAGGCGGCTGGGGTTGGGTGGTCATGCTGGCGGCCATGTGGTGTAACGGATCGGTGTTCGGGATCCAGAACGCCTTCGGTATTCTCTTCCTCTCGCTGCTGCGGGAGTTCGGCTCCGAGGAGGACGCTGACCTCCGGTTCAAGACAGGTGAGCGCCGGGTTGGAGGGAGGAGTTCAAACTTCGGGTCGTTTCGCCTGAATGCCATTAAAAGTCAGGATGCAACGGAAGTATTTTAAGTTGAGTTCTATGTTTAAGACAGAGCAGAAGATGCTAGCTCCTCTGGAGGTCCTTTTCGGTGTGACTCCGTGAAGTAAAGGTTGTAGTAAACGTCGCGCTCGTGTGTCACATTAAGTTAAAGAAGCACGTGTAAGCTAACATGTCAGCTAGCAGGTAATATAATCATTTCCTGATGAGAAAGGGGGAAACTAGAGCAACTGTCTGTGGCTAGGTGGCACGGCTGTGGGGACATACGGTGCTGTGAAGCGTGCTTCCGGTAAACCCTGTAGCTACGTGATGGCACTTTCTGCGGTGTTACTGGTTTGTGCCCTACAGGTGTGTAAAAGCTGCGGGCAGCTTGTAGGTGCCGCGTGCTCTCTCGTAGACACGCGAGAGAGAAATGCGGCGCTTACATTGTGCCACAGAGGCTGCTCTTTAAAAAGTAATGGAGTTAAATCATCAGACATTTAACAGACATTACGTTGTGCCTCACGTGGTGGTGTGTATAGGATGTTAAAAAGGTTTTTGACAACCTATTCCTTATCTTTCTGCTCTTAAATCACATTTGTTGACCGAACATGGGGGGCGAGGTCAAGGGAAAGGTCACATAGTGAAAATCCCTCACCCTGCTGTGTGTACAGTGCCCTGCATAAGTATTCACCCCCCTTAAACTTTTCTACATTATGTCATGGTTTAACCACAGATTAACATTTATTTCATTGGGATTTTATGTAATGGACTGACACAAAATAGTCCATTTGGAAGTGGGGGGGAACTATTACATGGATTTCAAAATTATTTACAAATAAAAATCTGAAAAGTGTTGAGTGCATATGTATTCACCCCCTTTACTGTGAAACCCCTAACAAAGATCTGGTGCGACCAATTGCCTTCACAAGTCACATAATTAGTAAATAGGAAACGCCTGTCTGCAATTTAATCTCAGTATAAATACACCTGCTCTGTGAAGGCCTCAGAGTTTGTTAGAGAGCATTACTGAACAAACAGCATCACGAAGAACAAGGAGCTCACCAAACAGCTCAGGGGTAAAGTTGTGGAGAAGTATGAAGCAGGGTTAGGTTATAAAAAAATATCCCAAGCTTTGAACATCTCACGGAGCACCATAAAATCCTTCATCAGAAAATGGAAAGAATATGGCACGACCGCAAACCTACCAAGAGAAGGCCGTCCACCCAAACTGACAAGCCGGACAAGGAGAAAATGAATCGGAGGAGCAATCAAGAGGCCCATGGTAACTCTGGAAAGATCCACAGCTGAGAAGGGAGAATCTGTCCACAGGACAACTATTAGTCGTGTACTCCACAAATCTGGCCTTCATGGAAGAGTGGCAAGAAGAAAGCCGTTGTTGAAAGTGAACCACAAGCCATGTGGGAGACACGGCAAACATGTGGAAGAAGGTGCTCTGGTCAGATGAGACCAAAATTTAACTTTTTGGCCTCAATGCAAAACGCTATGTGTGGTGGAAACTCAACACTGCCCATCGCCCTGAGCACACCATCCTAACAGTGAAACATGGTGGTAGCATCATGCTGTGGGGATGCTTCTCTTCAGCAGCTACAGGGGAACTGGTCAGAATGGAGGGAATACTTATGCATTCACCACTTTTCAGATTTTTTATTTGTAAATCACTTCCAAATGGTGGACTATTTTGTGTCGGTCCATTACATGACAGAGAGAGAGAGAGAGAGAGAGAGAGAGAGAGAGAGAGAGAGAGAGA